ATTATTATTATTATTATTATTATTATTATTATTATTATTATTATTATTATTATTATTATTATTATTATTATTATTATTATTATTATTATTATTATTATTATTATTATTATTATTATTATTATTATTATTATTATTATTATTATTATTATTATTATTATTATTATTATTATTATTATTATTATTATTATTATTATTATTATTATTATTATTATTATTATTATTATTATTATTATTATTATTATTATTATTATTATTATTATTATTATTATTATTATTATTATTATTATTATTATTATTATTATTATTATTATTATTATTATTATTATTATTATTATTATTATTATTATTATTATTATTATTATTATTATTATTATTATTATTATTATTATTATTATTATTATTATTATTATTATTATTATTATTATTATTATTATTATTATTATTATTATTATTATTATTATTATTATTATTATTATTATTATTATTATTATTATTATTATTATTATTATTATTATTATTATTATTATTATTATTATTATTATTATTATTATTATTATTATTATTATTATTATTATTATTATTATTATTATTATTATTATTATTATTATTATTATTATTATTATTATTATTATTATTATTATTATTATTATTATTATTATTATTATTATTATTATTATTATTATTATTATTATTATTATTATTATTATTATTATTATTATTATTATTATTATTATTATTATTATTATTATTATTATTATTATTATTATTATTATTATTATTATTATTATTATTATTATTATTATTATTATTATTATTATTATTATTATTATTATTATTATTATTATTTTTATTATTATTATTATCATTATTATTATTATTATTATTATTATTATTATTATTATTATTATTATTATTATTATTATTATATATGCCGGCAAAAACGAACTATGTGCAATTTATTATAAAGTGTCCGAGGACCTGGCAGTAACCAATATTTGATCATGACAAACAAAACATTAGAATTTGAAGATCATTCGAACGTGACGATCATTTGTACGTGACGATCATTTGTACGTGACGATCATTTGAACGTGACGATCATTTGAATTTGACGAGCATTTGAACGTGACGATCATTTGAACGTGACGATCATTTGAACGTGACAATCATTTGAACGTGACAATCATTTGAACGTGACGATCATTTGACCGTGACGACCATTTGAACTTGAAGATCATTTGAACGTGACAATCATTTGAACGTGACGATCATTTGAACGTGACGTTCATTTGAACTTGAAGATCATTTGAACGTGACAATCATTTGTACGTGACGATCATTTGAACTTGAAGATCATTTGAACGTGACTATCATTTGAACGTGACGATCATTTGAACGTGACGATCATTTGTACGTGACGATCATTTGAACTTGACGAGCATTTGAACGTGACGATTATATGAACAAGACGACCATGAAGACGATCTTTTGAACGCGACAAATATTTGAATATGGCAGACATATGAACATGACAAAAAATTCACATGATAAGTATTAAAACATGATAAACATTTATAAGCTGATATTGTTGAGGACAGGACTAACCTCTGAATCGTTTTATTATCGTTGGGATCAATGCGACGCATCTAAAATTCGATTGGTAAATCGGTTTAATCTACGATGGCTGCACCCATGGTTGAACTATATTATTACTAATACATGGTTGACCTCCGGGCAACTGCGCCTTGCGGATGTCATATGTTATTCCAACTGTGACGTTACCTTGGGATTGGCTCTTGTGACGTCACCGCGTGACGTCAAACTGATTTGTAGCACCGGTTTTGCTTAAAATAAAACTAGTAACATAGCACCGGAATTCAGACCCTATCGACGGTTCGTCGAATGGTTTATAACCAGGCGTCGCAATAGAAAAATATAATATGACCCAAACTCCATTTAGTTTGCTACAGTACTTCAAAATTAGTATATCATTTTATACAGGTGGAGCTTTTGACTGATTTGTTACGCTAGTTATCCATAATTCAAGTAATCGCAAACAACTGGAATTACTTAAGTTCAAACTTCATCTTTCGATTATCATCGCTGCATAATTACTTATATCTTCTCTAATCATGTGGAACAAATTGTTCAATTTTTGCCATTTTCCTCCGTTTTGGATGGGTAAGCAGCCGTGGCCGACAGGCGTCCCGTTTTGGATTACAAAATGTGAACTCAAATATATATAACTACCTGACATGAGCCTCGCTGCCGTGTACCGAGAATGTACAGTATGAAGCGACCTTTCATAAGTGTGTCACATTTGAGGGCTATCACGGTTCACGGAAAAGGCGCAGTTCCCGGCAACTTCCCGCAGTGTAGGGACTGTTCACTCCACTGTAGTCTGTAGGATGGGTAAGGAGTGAGGACTAGGACACGAAGCTGGTAGCTTCTAACTTATAAGTTGGGGACGCCCGGGACGGGGTGAAATATAATTTTCTATGCCGATTTATTATGTTTTAGATCTTCTGTGAACAATCACAAAAACTAAGAATCGGCGACAGCCGACAAGCCTACTCTTCACTCTTCAGCGCCTACATCGCTATGTTATTATTGTTATCATTGTTATGTTATGTCAGTAAAACATATTTCCAGGCATGAACTAAGTATTCCTGCTGAGGCAATGCTGTTTCTCAAAATTTTTTTGCCAGTGGCTGCCCACAGCCTCACAGGCCACAGCAGGCAGTCAGGCTGCTCAGTGCTCAGGCAGTCAAGCACAGCAGCCACAGCTCACTGAGCTCACACAGCTGTGACTGTGAGACAGTGAGTGTGAGTGGGCACTGGGCCAGAGTGGCTGTGTCAGACTGTCAGCGGTTAGCTTGTGTGGACTGTGAAAACTGGCAACTAGTAATACTAGTTGGCAATGCTGAATCTGAATGCAGCCACTGAGCTACGTTACAGCAAGGCATCATTGTTCATCCAGCCCTGAAGCTGCTGCTGTGAGCAAATCTTCAAGGCTCCCAGCCTCCCACAGTCAACAGTCTCACAGACTGTTTATGGAAAAAAGTTACTCTGTGGGTATGGGCCGCAGGCTACCATAGTGAGGAAAGAATCTCTCTGAGGCTAGTCTGGAAAAGTCCTATTTTTGTCTGAAATATCGCGGCTCTAATATCATATAATTTCAGTAGGTATGAAATCTCGCGGCTCGAATGTCATAAATTTTTGTTTGATTAAAAAATCGCGGTTTGCACTTCGCAAACATGTCATTTCNGGAATATAGGGATTTGGTAGGTTTCCATTCTAAAGGCTTTTTAATAAATATGGCAACATTTTGTGACGTTTCATCGTTGCTGACGCGTAGTGAAGTGTTTTGAGAGTCATGTGAAGGCAACAGAACTTTCGTAACGCGTACGTTTTTTTTATAGTTTTTCATTTCTCAATGCGTCCTTAATGTGTCGGAATATACCGCATTTACCCTAACTCATCACTCGTGGCATGATGGCGGGCTGGGCAGCGCAGCAATGGCACACGCACATTATGGCGCATTTACGCTGCACGCATATTAAGAATAAGCTCTAATTTTTCTCTAGGAATTATCTAAGGAATAGGCTAGCTGTTGAAACATTCTCTAATTTACATGCAATTTAGCTAATGCCTAGTGCTAACAGGTAACGGGGATGGCAATGCCTACATTACATTTTTGCAAAAATAAAACGCGGGTTTACAAGAGTCTGAGTCTCTGAGTCTACATAGTGACAAACCAGAGATTTTTTAGAATCAGTTCATTTTAAATTTCCTAATTCACTCAAGATTTTAATGTTAATCAATTTAGGTATTAAATATGATAATGCTGGTATGTTATCCATGATCCTTTTCTGGATCTGGTCTAGGTACTTATAGGACTCAAAAATGAACTTGAGGGAGAGTCTAAAAAAAACTCTGCTTTGCCACTATAGACTCTGAGACGCAAGTTCAAAAAAATCTTAATCTTTGACATAACTAAATATGGCCTGTTGCAGGGCAGGAAAATTACTATTTTTTTTCTGATATATTGTGGCTCTTATATCACATAATTTCAGTATGTATGAAATCTTGCAGCTCTAATGTCATGTATTTTTGTTTGATTGAAAAAATTGCGGTTTGTACTCCCCAGAAATGTTTTATAAAATTTCCAACTTCCATAATATATCAACAATCTCACCAAAATATCCTGCACCTGTCTCTTATACACATCTAGATGTGTATAAGAGACAGGTGTAGTGCGGTGTTTTGCGAGTCACATAAAGCAAACAGAACTCGAGTAACACATACGGTTATTTTTTTATAGTTTTTCATTTCTTGACGTGTCCTTAATGTGTCGTAATATACCGCGTTTACCCTAATAATGAGCAAGTTAGATAATGACATATTTAATTATTTAATTACCCACTCCTGTGCTTCAAGTATTTCATTTGATTTTTTTTTACTGAATTTCTTTTGTTTTAAGCTTGAATCATTCCATTTATCATTAGACTAACAAGATCATCTTAAGTTTCACTGAACTGACCTGGCACTTTGGATCCTAATCAATTCAATCTATTTTATGATCTACCATATTACATTTAATTTGTCCAAATAGGTACTTAATTTAGTTAGTGAAAGAAAATAAATTGTAGCCAATATGAAAAACGTCCGGAAATATTTGTATTTCATAATAGATTTGTTTAAAATTTGATGCCTTGTTTATTGTGGTACCTATTCATCTCTACTATTGTACTTGATCCATACTAGTGTAAGCCAGGGTTGCACTGGGTAGTGCCTGCCCAGGGAGCTGCTCACCTACCACCCAGGCTGGATTTTTTAATATAAAAACCTGGGTCTTTAAAAAAATAGAGCAAACGATGGTTTTTAACAAAAACTTGAAAATGCATCAAAATGATTCCATGATTGAATTTCAGAATGCAATAATACTGGATAGAAGCATACCAAAAATACATCTATCAAGCCTTCTTGAACAAATACCTTAATCCTATAAATGATTAGTGCTAGCCTCTAAAATACCTCATGTTGGTTGGAACCCCTAAAATATAGCCACCCATTTTAAAGTTACAGAAATATTACTTGCTAATGCAGTTCCAGAAAGAACTACATTAATTGATTCAAAAGTTTTTTCTATCAATTCATAGTCTCTGACAGAGGTGAGTCACTGTTTTATAAATAGTAATACCTACATCAAGTTAATGATGCATCATCAATTACTCACTGTTTAAAAAATTGACAATTGTTGGATTAAAAGTTAATGCAAATGTAATAATAGAAGGTGATACTTTATAGTATCAAATTTTTAATAATCAATATAAATAAGGACTTGAAGACAAATATGAATGATAGAAGTAAAAAAGTAATAAAACCCATATTACCCATTTTGCCCAGATTTTTAAAATAAATCTCTGGGTTTTCTAATGAAACCCAGGTGGGTTGGGCAATTTAAAAGAAACCCCTTAGTTTTTGGAATCATTTTGTAAACTGCATATAGTTGGAAAACCCATTCCTATCATTGGCACTGAGGAAATTATATCAAGTTGCTTAGTGGTTTTTAGAATTGGGTATCATATTTAAAATATTAAATTTCCAAGTGATACTACATTCTCTCCTGCATGAAACCTGGAGGGTCATGGTTGATTTGATGCACTTTAGTTAATAGAAAATTTGACATAATATTACCATATTTAAAATATTGAATTTCCAAGTGATACTACATTCTTTCCCGCATGAAACCTGCAATGTCATCATGAATTACAATTTTCTGTATAACCTGGCAATTTCTTATTTCTAAGGATTTCTTAAAGAACCAAATATGCATCCTAAATTGCAGGACTCCTCAGAGGAAACTGAGCACAGGCACTGGAGTGCTGTCTGAGGAGGCCACAGTCACAACTCTGATGCAGTGCATCCATGACCTTGACCTGGACGACAACCAGCGCAAGAGAATGGAAGTTTTTCTCTTCCAAAAACAGCAGGTCAGAGTTTTATTAATATAGTCAAATGGGGTAAGACAGGATCGCAGCCTTCATGGGGTAAGAAAGGACCAGCCCATGCCGTGCATTCTAATTGCACTGAATTTAATTTGACAAAAGAATATGTTAGAGCAATCATTGCCTGTCATTTCAGTGTTTGTTTCAACCCTCTTCTGCAAATAATGAATTACTGACTAATTTTTAAAGAAAACCTATGTAAAGAAGGGTCACAAAATAGTTAACCCTGTTTGTGAAATAAGCTCTGTCTAATAACAAAAAAATTTTTGGTCAGGTTTGTGAATGTAAGCAGGTAACCTCAAGTAATAAGCAACTTATGAGACATACTAGACATTCCTACCTGCTACCATCACTGCCTGACATGCATTATAAAATGGGGTAAAAAAGGACCGGACATGGGGGAAGACAGGACCACTAAATGATCCTGTTTTACTCCACAAGCGGTCCTATCTTATCCCACAAATGGTCCTGTCTTACTACCCCACAAATGGTCCTGTCTTACCCCACAAATGGTCTTCTATTACCCTACAGTTTATCAAAAATAGTTTTTAAATGAATATATTATTGTGCAGTCAGTACATGGAGTATTTTGGTCAAAATTTTTATCTTTGGCTCAAACTTCAACTTGTTAGCTATTTTAATTAGAGAAACTTAGTGCACTATTTTAAATTTCATCAAAGGGATGGAGAAAATAGGGATGTCACTTCCCATTATTGACCTGCAGAACTATGTGCAAGATTGGCTGGGGGGAAAATCATTGTGTGAAACATGAAAAATAATTATGATCCCAACTCTGTGAGAAGGCATGAGCTATGTTTGAAGAAGTGCACCACAAATGCAGTTAGCAAGAAAACTCATGATGTCTGACACTTAAGTTATTATCCATTGGTTTTATTACCAATGTGAAAAATTTTTCAGACAATGACACTTGGAAATGGAATATACAGGACGCATTTAGCAGTGCTCTACAATGAACCAAAGCCAACCCACCTTTATTATGCTTAACAAAGTTTCCTCGTGACAAAAACTCCAATGTGACTGATATTATAGTTGACTTCCCGCAACGCAAAACAGTAACAAGTGGTTGTTTAATCAAATAATGTGTTTCTAGATGGATACTATTGAATATCAGATTTGTACTTTTATTAAAAACCTTGTAACATAAGAATAACTAGTTGGTCCTGTCTTACCCCATGCCTGGTCCCATCTTACCCCAATGGGGTAAGATGGGACCAGTTCACTTTTTTTAATCTGTACAGAAAACTATGTTAGATGCAAAATGTCAGAGTTATAGCTTAGAAGCCTATTGCATAGATACACCTTGTGATATGTTTAGGATTTTTTAATTATTCATGGTATAGATGCTACGGGCTTGTTAGTGATTTTGGTCCTGTCTTACCCCATCTGACTATATATATATATATATAGATGGTTTATTGCTTTAGTTGAGAGGAATATAGGCCTTTCTTTTATAACAAATATATAAACTACTACTCCAGTTCTCATATTTCAAGATATAATTTTATCAGTTTGATAGTTCTTTTTGTATTGATATCAACTTTGTATTGAGTTTATTAATATATTCTCATGATTTTTTGACGTTATTGTGTTACAATTCTAAGCCAACTTTAAAATTCAGATTTCAATTTTATTGCAACAGCTTAATATTAAGTGGAGTTCATTTATAATACTGCAGAATAATGATCCAGTTTCACTAGAAATTATGCTACTAGACCAATTATTTCTAGTTTTTATTTCCTTGCTAAATTTCCAGATTGGTGAACTGAACACAGATGATTTTGAGAAGCTGGGAGAACTTGGCGCTGGCAATGGCGGTGTTGTCAACAAAGAGCGACACAAGCCTTCGGGTCTCATCATGGCTCGGAAAGTCAGTTGTTGGTTGAAAATGTACTCTTAATTAATAATTAATACCTGAACACGTTTTTTCTATCATCATGATTTAAAAATTGTTAAGATTGTCTTGATTTATTATCTCCTATTGAACTCTCTGCTAAGACCATTCATTGCCTGGCAGTTTGATGGTGACTGTTTTGGTGTCAAAGAATTTACAAGGATATTTGTTAGAGGTCAATTATCTTTAAGTCTGAAAATAACAGCAATAGTACATGTGGATGCTTGGAATAGAACACTGTTTATGTTCAAAAATATCCTGAAAAGAGATAATCCTTTCTAACATTATTATGATTACTGGTTCAAATTCATGGAAATTTTACTAGGTTTCAAAGTAGACCTCAATCATCTTGCCATTCAATCTTCATTGAATGGTAAGATGTAAGGTGGAAATTTTCAAAAAGATGGAAGAAGGAAATCTAAGCATGCTTCTTGTGAAGAATTGAGAATGTAAGTATCAACAATTTGTATTGTTACCAATTTAAATTAACCATTTGGACCTTCTTACTTCACTTCTGCTATGGTTCAGGCAATTGATATCTGTGGATATTTATAACCTGTTCAAATCATATTTATTCACTGCAAAGTGATTTAAAATGTTTTTCTTTTCTTGCCCTTGACAGCTTATCCACTTGGAAGTGAAGCCTGCTGTCTGGAATCAGATCATTCGCGAGCTCAAAGTCCTGCACGAGTGTAACTCTCCTTTCATTGTTGGCTTTTATGGCGCATTTTACAGGTAAGTTTCTAGCAATGACTTCTTTATCTTGTTTATAGGAATCAGTTTGCTTGCATACTCTTGTATTTTTTATTTATATGGACAATTTTCCTCTTCAGCATTACTTCAGGTGACTTAAGACGCAATTTATATATTGATTTATTTTTTTTATTTATCTAGCTCTTCATTGCATACTTGCAATCAAATTAAGGCGTGGAACAATTTGACCGAGAGTCTACTTATTTTTCTCTGAAAGCATCGAATCTTAGAACGTTTTGGCATATTGGATTTTGAAGTAGCCACTTTTTGAATCATAAATTGATATGTATTGGTAGCATTAGAATTAGAGTTTACCTTCATTTGTTAGTTCGAAGTGTATCAATCATTATTAGAAGTGCAGCAATCATTATTCATTATTAGAAGTGCAGAATCCAGTATTCATAATTAGAAGTGCAGCAACTATTATTCATCATTAGAAATGTATTAATCATTATTCGTCACCGCAGTGAAGGCGAGATCAGCATCTGCATGGAGTACATGGACGGTGGCTCCCTGGACCTCCTACTGAAGCAGGCCATCCGCATCCCTGAGCTGGTCCTGGCCAACGTCTCTGCCACCGTGAGCCTCGTCCTTGTCACACGTGCACGACACGCCATTTATTGCTCTAACAGAATAACAAACAATTTGGGGCGAAATTCCAAACAATTTTTCGGAAAAAAAATCTAAACAGTTTTTTGGAAAAATTGCAAAAGATTTTTTGGAAAAATTCTAAACGTTTTTTTGGAAAAATTCTAAATGATTTTGGAAAAATTTTGGGCGAGATTCTGAAAGATTGTGGGAAAAAAAATTCCTAACGATTTTGTGAAAATTCCAAACGAATTTTGGCATCCAAGTCTGTAATGTTGATTCTGAGAGACTTTCAAGCATTTAAATTTGTATATAAAAGTGCGAGTTAATAACATTCTCGTTCTGTCAGTTTTCCTTTAGTACATTATTTTTCAAATAGTGATTACTACTAGACTGAAAATACTTGAGTATTTGCCAGTCAAGTTGAAGGCAGTATCCGAGGATTAGAGCTGAAAGTGATGAGCAGAAAGTTTAACAATTCCCTGATCCAGTAAAGGAATTGAAAGGTTATGAAGCAAAATAGTTTGTTGCTCTACTTTTTGCGCAAATAGAATGTTCACTATGAAAGTTTTTAAATCAAGGTAGAATTGAAAAAAATTTAAAGTTTAAATAAAAATAAAGATTTCAGCATAATTACTTATCATTACAAGACTTTTAAGTGACAAAAACTCAAAATTTTTCGTTAATTTCAGGTACTGAAAGGTTTGGCTTACTTGAGGGAAAAGCATCAAATTATTCACCGCGACGTGAAGCCTTCAAATATATTGGTCAACTCCCGAGGCGAGGTGAAGATCTGTGACTTCGGCGTATCGGGCCAGCTCATCGACAGCATGGCTAACACTTTTGTAGGCACCAGGAGCTACATGTCGGTGGGTGGATCTCTGTACTGTTCGCATCAACGCCATGGAACGGTTAGACTGGCATCTTTGTGGCCAGAACCCCCTTTAGATTGAATAAAGTTGCATCAAGTTAGAATATGAAGTCTAAGCAATACCTGAAAAAAACGGCAACACGGTATAGTTTCAGGGAGGGCTTTCGGACACTAGGACGCCGGTTAGACCATTTATCAACATTATTCTGAACAATATACAAAGCCATATGAGTTATACTACCTACTGCAGCAAAACAATGACACTACAATGACGCCTGAGGTGTCATTGATAACATTTTCTAAAATTTAATATACTCGCGTATTTTCAATCGACACCATTGCAGTGAATGGGCTTTTACTATAATTTGTCAAGTGTTTTTGGGTTTCTTAACATTGGAATGGAATTTCATCTAGAATGCATTGTTCGCGGTTCAGCATTCCCAGTCTTGTTGTTACCTTCTACTCCGTTCTTAAGGCGGAGCAGAAGTCGGGTATAGCATGAATTTGTTCATATGTCTGTGCGGATAAGCCTGCCAATCTGATTCTACTGTACATTTCTGGCTGATTCTACTGTACTGTGCAGCCAGAGCGTCTAAACGGCGACCATTACTCGGTGGCCTCAGACATCTGGAGCCTGGGCCTCTCCCTGGTGGAGATGGCCATAGGCATGTACCCCATCCCGCCTCCTGACGCAGCTGTGCTCGCTAAAATATTCTCTATCAAAACACCCGGCTCAGCGTCTGCCGCAACACCGTCCCCTACTTCACGATCACCTAGATCTGGTATAACCTGCCACTTTACCAGTGGTTGTTACTTTCTCCTGTTACTCTCCTAGGTCTGGTATAACCTGTCATCTTCCTAGTAGTTGTTACCCTTTTATGTTACTCCCTTAGATCTGGTATAACCTGTCACCATACCAGTAGTTGTTACCCTCTCCTGTTACTCACCAAGATCTGGTATAACCTGTCACCTTCCTAGTAGTTGTTACCCTTTTCTGTTACTCCCTTAGGTCTAGTATAACCTGTCACCATACCAGTAGTTGTTACCCGCTCCTGTTACTCACCTAGATCTGGTATAACCTGTCACCTTCCTAGTAGTTGTTACCCTTTTCTGTTACTCCCTTAGATCTGGTATAACCTGTCACCTTACCAGTGGTTGTTACCCTCTCCTGTTACTCACCAAGATCTAGTATAACCTGTCACCTTACCAGTAGTTGTTACCCTCTCCTGTTACTCACCTAGATCTGGTATAACCTGTCACCTTACTAGTGGTTGTTGCCCTCTCCTGTTACTCACCAAGATCTGGTATAACCTGTGGTTGTTGTAGTATAACTAGTGGTTGTTAAGCTCTCTAAAATCACTTTTATTTCAGCGGGCGTCCCAGGCCAGCCTCGGCCCATGGCAATATTCGAGCTGCTAGACTATATCGTCAACGAGCCGCCGCCACAGCTGCCCCACGAGTATTTCTCGCCCGAGTTCGTCGATCTCGTCCACCGTTGCCTTAAGAAGAACCCCAGCGAGCGTGCTGATCTCTCCAGTCTCATGGTGCGCCTTTATTTACCCTTTTTAAACATTGAAACAAAGCAAAGTAATTCCTGCCAATCCATACCTCATATCATATAAGCACCTAAAGTTCATTTTTACGTGATCTCTCCAGTCTCATGGTGCACTTTTATTTACCACTTAAAACATTGAAACAAAGCGAATAGCAATTCCTGCCAATCCATTCCTCATATCATATAAGAACATAAAGTTCATTTTTACGTGATCTCTTCAGTCTCATGGTGCGCTTTCTTTACCCCTTAAAACATCGAAACAAAGCGAATAGTAATTCCTGCTAACCTGTTATTCATGTCATACGTATAAGAACCTAAAGTTAATCTTTACGTTCAGAGGAAAACGGTGTCATGGACAATCATTTGAAATATTTTATGAGGAGTACATTTCTTTTTACATATAATTTCCGAGAAACAATGTGAATTATTATTTTTAAAACTCCCCGTTAGCTGTTAAATCATCTTTATTTTTATTCTCTACATTGCTCTTCATAAGCTTTTGTTCCATGACTGCAGTAAATATCAATTATTTGCGTATTTTTATGATAGTTTTTAGCACATTTTCTCATTTATAAAAAACGCTATTGTGCTCGTTATGTCCGTCTGTCTGTCCGTCCGTGACTTCATGTTTTCGTCGACGAGAAAATGCGCTCTCTGTCACTCACTGCAGTGAGAACCGAGTTATATATTTTTTTTACTTTTCCGTGATTAAACTGAGGATTGATGGAACTGAATCCCTCAGAGCCACCCTTGGATCAAGCGAGCGGAGGTTGAGAAGGTTGACATAGCGGGCTGGGTGAAGCGCACAATGAACCTCAACCCCCAGACGCCTGCTGCACTTTCTGCCCACCCTGACTCCTGAGTGGGCAACTCTGCTGCCTTCTTGCAGCCTTTTCAGGTAATAGTAAACAGTGATCTATGTACTAAAATTTTGGCTATATGTAGCATAAATCATTTTTAATAGAAGCAAAATTTTTGCTAATTTGCTGCTTTTGCTTCATATCTGATCGATGCCCGTATTCAAGAATTGGGATTAAATTGAGATTAAAGCTTTTTTTCGGCACGTAAATGAGGCCAGTTAAATTATTGTGCCTAATTGGGATTGTGGTATTTTAAAGTACACCTTAGCTTTTCCGGCATTCTCAGTAGAATTGATGCTAATACTTAATTACATAAAATTCATTATCTCAGCCTCCCAAGTGGCACTCACATGATGAAGCTTTCCTTTTTATAAAAGCTTACGTACTGTCTTAGCCTTGGAGCATGATTTTCTGTAGATTTGGTTAAATGCAGGTGCCTCAAGTTATTATTTCTCACGGAGGTCATATTTAGTAAATATTACTTGTATGAATGCTCTTTTTATTTTCCAACGTTGTTTTACCTGTGTTACTTGAAATTGAAATTCTTGTTCTAAATGCAGTTGGTGATTTTGTAAAACTAAATCTTAAATATTTTTCATATTATTTCTTGTCATGGAAATTCATTTTTTTAACAATTTTGGTGGTTTTTGGTTTAACCCGATTTTGTTGTACCAGTTTTTAAGGGTATAAAATTTTTGAAATTTTAGAATGATAGAACATAATGCAAGTTTAACCTTGTGCTTCTGCTTGAAATAGAAGTCTCCAATTAATATCCTGTGCTTTATGTTAATTCCTGGATTTTTTGGTCAAAGTATATTAGTTGAAATGTAAAATCGGCACCTGTGTCGTTCACGCCTGAATATTTCTTGCATAATTTTATAGATATAAGTTACCAAATTATTTTATTACTATTAAAATATATTTATATTATTATCCTTATGATTTTTTTTTCACAGTAATTGGATGGACAATGCCTGTTGGGATTCGTCGCTAGAACATCTGTGGCATTACGGCTAGACATCTAATTCGAGTCAAGTCTTTGTACCACATGATAATTTTATACCACAAGATGGTTCTCTACCACAAGATAATTCTCGACCACAAGACAGTTCTCTACCACAAGACAGTTCTCTGCCACAAGATAGTTCTCTTCCACAAGACAGTTCTCTATCACAAGACAGTTCTCTACCACAAGACATTTCTCAACAAGATAGTTATCTACTAGAAGGCGTTTTCCCCCTGTTATGCGATCACTGTTTTCTTAAGTTATATATCATGCCTCATTACCAGAATTGTATTTATTAATGAGAACTAGGATCATGATACTTTATTCTAGTTTGGTGGCGTCAGTCACTCTAATTTTAACCGACAATTGGCAATAGAATTCTTAGAAGTATCATAGCGTTACCACTGTTTGTTTATATTGAGGCCATTCTCATTAATAGAATATTCGTTTTAAGATTTTACTGCTTTCACATCTGCTCCTATTTTATCCATAGTAATATATACGAGATATTTTCTTTATTTCTATGCCTCAGTGATACTGAATACTGGTATAAAGGGATTTGGTATCCGACGTTACATGGTGCTGTAGTACAGGGGAGGTAGTAGCTGAGTTAGACGTTGATAGCGTTGGTGCACGCTAGCGAGGTGGATGCGAGATGTTCGTACATTATTTGCCAAGTCATACAATCGCTCTAACGTCTGCTCTTCTAAGATTCAAGTTCAAGCGTTAGTTGCTAGTCATTGATGTTCGTACACGTACATCTTTGTTTCTTGTCACAATTTGAGGCTAAGTTTGCACTATCGATTCTTTTTATGTAATATTATGTTGAGAGAAGTTTAATTTAGAAGAGAAGTTGCTATGCATTCCTGATGATATTGCATTAGGGTTGGCCATGGATGTCTTTTTGTGTGGTGTGGGACGCATCTTTTCTTGTGACTGTTTTACCCTGAATTGGTTGCAGAACTTAACCCTGAACTTCTTGTTAGACACGATAGCATGTTGATGGTTATTAGATTTCATCCTGCTAACACCTTGTACTCGGTTTTCATCATCATCTATGAACTTTATTGCCGGCTTTACAGTGAATGGTAGTTTATTAATTGCAATATAAAGGTTCCAACTGTGAAATGAGTAATGCATTTGAGGGCCAAAGTCGCGAGAAAGGTGTGAATTATAGGGGCTTCTTTTGACCTTGTCGAGTTCGCCAGTCTTTCCTGTAGACTGCAATATATGTACGAGTATTTTACCCTTACACCTAATGCATCTCGCATTGCTTGACGCTCTTCCAGGCTGATATTGACGAGATATTATTCCTGTCGCCACTCACTTTCGAATTCGAAACTATAATCATTTGTGAACATCTAATTGGGTTTTTGTGTCTGCTTGGCTGTATATTCATGTTCAATTATTCATTGGTTCAGTCGTTTTAACGAGCGGTGTCGTTTCGAAATCGTATTAGTCCTGTGTTTTAAGCATATATCTTAGTGATTGTCAGCCCTAAATTGTTTGATGTGTGGTTGTACCTGTGTTTGATGTTCGTGTTGAATGCTGCGTGGTTGATGTCTTATTGCCAGTGTGTATTCTCAAGATGGTCTTATCATTCTAGAACATGGCCAAATTTATCTATTGCTCTTGAAATGGCTCTGTTTATTTCATAAATATAAAAGATGAAGTTGGAGCACACCTATTGCTTCTCTAGGATACTTTGATATCAATATATATTTCAAAGTATAATTTGTGACATTGCTATTATGCTCCGCAAAAACCGTTTAACTTATAAGGAACCTTCGTCGCTTGCCAGTTCACGTTTGTTTATTAATTTAAAGAAAATGAAGGATTAATAAAATTAGGGAATATTTTAATGTCCTCCTGTGAATGGGTATATCTAAAAAAAATGTATAAAGAGTTGCACTGTGATGATGTTGCTTCATCAAGTATTTTTGGGAAATATTCAATTCATGTACAGTTTCAAGACGAATGTTACTGGTAATGTTTATGAGCTTCAAAAGTATTGGATGTGCGTTTACGATAATTAATTTAATTCGCTTATATGTATGGAGTGATTCGTCCGTCTATTTTTCTCTATCCTTAAATTATTGTTAGATATTAAAAAGAAACATTGTAAAATGACACTTCAGTATTGTTGACTTCTTGAAGCCACGATTCCTGTTCAGCGGTAGTTAAAAAAATTTCAAATTTTGCACACTAATTGGGAGAACAACTTCTAATGTGTTACATTTGCTGTATATTTACCAATGTGTAATTGCTTCATCTCCATGTATGAAAAATAATATTCACGTGATTTGTAAATGGTTTTGTTAACGGTGATGGCTCGTGTTAGAGCTTACCTATGTCACAAAAAGTAAATTAAAATCATGTCTTAGTGACTATTTTCATCATTATGATTTCTCTCCCAATATGTCAACGTGGTCCTAGACCATAGCTACTTGTCGCCTAAGTGTGTTTTCTGACGTCCAGGTCCAGAGCCTTGAATTTTTCTGGGCGTTCATATTGAGGAAATATTCTTCTCTGGATTGTCGAATGACGAAAATAATCTAATAATTATTACGGTAAGAAAACGTTCAGAAGGTTTATAGGTACCTTTGAGCAGTAATATAGCTGCACAAACTTTAATTAGGTTTAAATAGAGGCACTCTTCTTAATCGATTCGTGATAATCCAAACTTAGTCTCACTTAGCCCAAAATTTCTGTTTATTTGTTCCTTGTGCATTTCCTATGATGGTAATGAAGCTCTTCGGAGCAGATGATTCTAATAAAATGTATATCGTGATTTCTATTGTCACTGTATTAGCTTTCGTTAGAGAACGGCTGCCTCTCGGCAACAGGCCATGGGCCTATACTCTCGGCAACAGGCCATGGGCCTATTTCTTCAGCGCCGACACTTCTATTCTTCTATTCTAAAATCTACGGTTTGACCATAACTATGACTTAATTTTAAGAAGATACTTGGTTGTTCAAGTGAACTTAACGCCTTCAAGATGTCACACTCACCCCGAAAGAAATCGTGGTAAAAGCGGTGTTACTCGAGTGGAGAAACGTCACCTATTATGTGCAATAAGCGTTTAAAATCCATGCCCGTTTCTATTGACTGTCTTCAGTTTTAAATCAGTTGCTCATGCCAGTTTCCTTTTTGCAAGAGGTACCGCGACTGTTCAGGTCAAGAATGCACCACACCAACATTGCAGATAATCGGGTCCCATTGTTGTCTCTCGGTTAATGAATTGCTGTTACTTATGCATCTTACTGGGCATTTATTTGTGCAAGAAAGAAAATGTATTTCGTGATTGTTTAACTGATTCTGGCTCTCGTATTTGTATATTTTTGAACGATCAGTATTTATTTTAGATGAAAAAATATTGAATACGTTGCTAATATGTATTGAAATACTATTATCGATGTTCGTCTAAGAATTGAAGCAGACTGTGACAGTTCAATGTTATAACGTCAACCGAGAACAAACTCTATTATTGCGATAATTTCAACTAAGAGATATGTGGCTTTCCTCATTTGTCACATTTTTATGTTTAACTTCCCATGTCTAATGTTTTCGCTCCGCTATTTCGTTGTTTTTCTAATAAGGAATTAGCTTTGTAGAATTTCACTTGATCGGTACATTTTATTGAACTTACCGACGCATGTCGGGGATATATTTTTTTTAACGTTGAGGGAAAAGGGTTCGATGATCGCAGAGACTTCTTTGAAATAATGAAGTTTGTCAATGCGATCACAATTTGAGTAATTTGCTAATGGCTAATATTTGATTGTATCAAGTATTTTTTATGATACTTAAGATTTTTAAGTATCAATTGTCTGTAGGTATTCAAGGAGGGTTTTGTTATATCATTAACATAACATTAGTTACGTCAGTATAGGGATTAGTTATATATAACTCTTGGGATCATCGCTTATTCAAGAGATCATCACAATAAAAATCCTGCTTCTCGAACATTGTTGTGCAGCTGTCGCTGAAGAGACTCGAATATCGGCCGCATCAAGTTGAAGATAGGAAGGCGCGTTCATGTCTGGCATCAAAGTAATGCTTTCAACTAGGGGCTGCTTCGGTGGGTGCAGAGCACAATTAGTGGCTGCTTCGGTGGGTGCAGAGCACAATTAGAGGCTGCTTCGGTGGGTGCAGAGCACAATTAGTGGCTGCTTCGGTGGGTGCAGAGCACAATTAGTGGCTGCTTCAGTGGGTGCAGAGCACAATTAGTGGCTGCTTCGGTGGGTGCAGAGCACAATTAGGGGCTGCTTCGGTGGGCGCAGAGCACAATTAGGGGCTGCTTCGGTGGGTGCAGAGCACAATTAGTGGCTGCTTCGATGGGTGCAGAGCACAATTAGTGGCTGCTTCGGTGGGTGCAGAGGCAAATTGCAGCGGGTTGCGATCTAAATTCATTGGCATTAAACGACTGCAGCGAATAAAAAAATTCACCAATTAACATAGTACATTTCAGTGTAAGAATGAATATTTTACCTTTCTATTACGAGCAATCCAAATTCATATGAAAAATATATATTCATCATCAAGTAATGACAATCGTGAGTCCCCCAACTAGTAGCCCACCTCTAAGAGGTCTAAATATCGCAGTCCTGACATGATCGATCATTCTTGTAAAACTCAATCAATAGCGATAAGATACTAACCTTCCAGAAAAAAACGGCATTAGTGTAAGCGGTAAACAACGCTAACCCAGAGATACAACTCCTTGAATCTACGAATTGCACGCGGGACAAATGATGGACTGATAAAATGCAGTCTTCTAAACTCTAAAGGACAGTGAAATAAATTTTGCATTTAATTCAATTTTATACAATCTTCACACTTACAAACAGCAGCCGTCTAATCAAATTGAATTAGAAATTGTTCAACAGACGCGACAAAGTTTCCGAAAAAAATAGTGTTACCTTAATTATTTGACGATTATTATTTACAAATGCCTATAAGGCGTAGAGCAAGGTAATCGGATCACTAATTCATTCATTGGAGCTGCTTGAGATAACTTATCAACAGGACAGGAGACAGCTTATTTAGGTAAATTTCCTGTAGCTTCAGATAAGCGACACTAATTGATCAATATCAATTGTAGTATCACACTGCAAAACGAAGAACACGATTCTTAGGAAAAAACGTGTATAGCAAGAGAACTAACGTCCGACTAGTGCATCACTTGACGCGCTTTGAAAAAGATATGCAATTCTCGAAATCTGTGGCAATTTCTGCGCCGTTCAAATGAGGACCTGTCGTGTGTCAGTAAAAATTAATCGCAGTAGATTCTAGAGATTCACATCCTGGAATAAAATAGAATTATTGCAGGAATTCAATGTATATCGCGAGTAAACTTGGTCGAGATCGTGCGCAGATGAAGAACAAAACCGAGATCCCAAGTTAGGCAACATTTACTCGAACGGCATAAATAAATTATATAGGTACCCGCTCTACCCGGTAAAGCTCGATGCTTGAACAGTCTTGCCTAGATTTTCTGTAATTTTCCTTGCCTAAATTTTCCTCAAGTGCATCGATTGAGAGCTTCTTGCACAAGTTAATAGGAAGAAAATGCCTTACTTCATCTAGTACACTGAAATAAATAAATCTACAAATTCGCACGACATACTACTTTATAATGTTTACGCTTCAGAATACTTCCAAAATATTTTTATTTTCATAACCAGTATGAACTAAATTAATACCTAATGACAATAAATCCAATATTGTGACTCTCCTTACAGATTTAAATTTAAGTTAAATTCTACATAGAGAAATCAAGGAGACAGAGAAGGCGAGTCTGATTTTTGACCTCGACTCAAAGATGACATTGAGCGAGACGAAGATCTGCTGCGGGAACGCGAGCGTCGCTTAGAGTTTTCACCGGCATATTTAGAACTGCTTTTAGGTAATGGCGAGTATTTAGATCTCTTATCTTTTGTGGGAGAGTTCTTAGCATAGGAAGGAGACGACCTGGAGAACTTATTGTGTCTGGGGCTGCGGGAGTAGCGCGATCCTGACGAGCCTCGCCTGTCAACACTAGACGAAGTGCTAGGAGATCTCGACAACTGCCGCTTATTCTTGCTGCTCCCGCCAGTGGCGCTCGACATTCTCGGTGACCTGTCGGGTGCCCCACGAACATTGCGCTGCTTCTCCAGCTTGCGAGGCGAGTGATACCCGTCACCTTTAGCCTGTCGACATTAATCCATTGAATATACGATTCTGTAATGAAACAGCAGTAAAGTTTTTGTCTAGATAGAGGAACTACATTCTTTCACTGAAAGAAAAAGTCGAATCCGATTCAGAAGTAGTAACTCAGAAAGAATATGTGGATGTTTAAAACAATAGTATGAAATATTAGATATGTAAAAAATTAATTCAACGGGACCTGATTATCCGAATGTCTGAGCCCATTCTCACTTTTTGTCCTGTTCGTCCGTGGCTGCCATCACGTCGCGTGCGGCTGTCGTCCCTCCGGTCGGCGCTGTCATCCCGGTCTCGGTCATCTCGGCGGCCGCCAGCGTCTCTGCGGGAGCTAGTGTATTCGTTTTCACGTTTGCCGGATGCGTCGTCGCGCCGATGCTCATCGTTTTCAGACTTCCGAGTGCGCTCGTCACTGTGACGTTGGCCTTCTGACCACGCGTCTTGCTTCTTGCGACTGACCGCTCCCTGTGGAGGCCGACCTACTACGCCTGGTCGACGAGCATCGGCAATATTGGGCCGACTACGTGCAGTTAGACGTTGGTACTCTGCGGAGTAAAAATTCTATCAATGAATGCAATTGTTAATACAAGCGCAAGAATAGCCACCTATGATGATCATTTAAAAATGATCTGATGGTAATTGTCGATCAATGAGCTGAATTTAAACATGCAATATTCAGGTCTGAGACGCGAAGCGAATCCTAAGCGCAAATAATAAATTTCTGTGTTGAACACAATGTTTACAACTTCTATACATACGAGTACAGTAGGTTTTAGGGCTACTCACTTTTGAGAAGAGCTGTTCTGTTGCTGGCAAGTGATGACAGCTTGGGTCTCATGGCAACATTCCTGTTGGCAAGCAAAGCCTGGCCAGGTGTACGACCGCTCGGAGAAGATCGCCCTGTCCGCATCTGGCCTGCCATATTAGCTGCTCTAGGGCGCTGTACTCCGGATACATCATTGACGCCCTCTCGACCAAGATATACTCTGCGGTTGTTGATTCGAGGTACACCGCGGTTAACGAGAGGCTTACGAACAAGGACCCCGCGGATCGGAAGACGTTCTCTAATGCGCGGCCCGTCTTGTGGCTGCATGCGACCATCTGGCCGCGGCATGACTTGTCTTTGATCCCTGCGAGGGAAACGGTCATCGGGTCTTGAGTTCATCCTCGTGAAACGTTCACCAGGTTCCGACCTGCCATCTTGATGCCATCCCGGCCTTCCCTGATCTTCGCCATGGCTGTCGTGCCTAGGACGACGATTCTCTGCCATATGGCGGTCACCTCGCCGACTGACACCGGGGTGAGGGAAGCGACCCATCTGAGGTTGGTTACGCTCTTTGCGGGCCTCTATCAGCCCCCGTAGGTCCAGTGGACGATGGCTTTATATTTCCAGAAATAGAAGAAAAGTGTTACAGAAATTTTCTACTAGTTTTCCATTCGCATATTAAAATAGTAATGGCAAACTATCTTTGAATGCTCACATGACAATCAATCAAACCGTACAATTCTTATGTCAATGTACGTAAAATTGAAGCGATGTCGCAAAAGCATGAAGAGATTTGGAAGTTTTGGGCTAAGTTGGCAGATAAAGTAAGAGTAAATATGGAACCAGTTTCCAACAAGAAATATTTGTCTGACTGCAGGTGCAATAAAGAATTTAATAATTGACAAATAAAAATTGAATGTAAGCAACTATAATCGACCAGCCAAAACTATTAAATCAACAGAATGAGAAAAAAAAAACAATTTCTGCCAGATAACATACCGATTAATTTAAAACCTGCATAGAACCAAACCAAAGACTTGATTTAATGTGAACTTCGTAGCCACGGTCAGCACCAATGATGCACCGTACGGTTATGAAGATCAGTGGCCCTAAACGGCCAGTTACTCTAGCTTCTTGACATAAAGTGCCACTGAAACACGCACACCAGTAGCACAGCCGCAACATTGTCATGCTCTTAATCACGCCCCAAAGATGACATGGCAGCACAACACAGCAGCACCAGGTGCCGAGCGCTCAAGTCGAGTTACGGCTGCTAGGACGTGACTCGACTTGGAGACGACCGGCAATCTGATGAGCTGTGAGCGTAGACCTGACGAGCTCACGAAGAGCAAGTAAATGGTTAGCTTGTGCTTACAGTAAGAGGCAGAAAAAAAACAAGGAAGAAACTATAGTAGTTCGAGTAGGAGGAAAATAGGGGTTTATCAATTACATGACGACACTTGAGCTGTGCTAGGCGGTGGCGTAGAATGACACTTCAGGGTCTCCCAACCTCAGCTAAGACACACAAATCCGTGGCAAGTTTTTTTTTCATCAAAGGTGAAACTTGCCCGAAAAAAACACCAAGGCAAATTAGGTTAGGTTGGCATGCAATTTTTAATAAATCACACATGGGATTGTGGATCAGAGCTAGAGGCAAGGAGTTGAACCCAATAGAAGCGATATCCATGAGATTTAATACAGTAACAAAAAATAAGGAGAATCATCAGGTCGCGAAAAACTTCAACACATGTACCATACAATAATTTCACACAAACGACTTGTTCTCCAGAGAAATACATTCCTGTCGTTCATTAGCACATCACAAAATCTACACTTATTAATATCATATCCGCAGGCCTGGGGCAAACTGTACGCACTTTCAACATAAAGCAAAAAGCAACGAGAGTCATGCGTGCCACAAGTATACAAGAGCCTGAGCATGTCCTCAGTAGAAGGCAATCCTCAGTTAATGTGTTTTTAGGGGGTTGTTCATGTTACCGAATCATGTCGCGGCCGCGGCCTCCGAGACGGCCGCCTCTGAAGCCATCGCCAGGAAGGCGTCTCAAGTTTCCTACGAAGCCAAGCCGCCCGTCCAGCAGCCCTCCTGCTCGTCCCATCATCGGTGATAGCATCGGCAGGGTCGGTCTGTGCCCAACAAAATAAGATAAATTAATAAAAATCAACAAGCCGGCCACCTTTTCTCAAAAATGAACTAAAGAATATTGAGAAGCGCTTTTCCCAAATCAGAAAGCTGCAAAGATCTGTGAATTTTCCGAAATAGTGAACTGTGTTGGACCTAAATTACTCAAATAAATGCTAAAATAATTGCAATAAAATGAATATTAAATAAGTATGAATAAATAAATACATTTTCTTGGAGCCAATCTACGAGTGGAGAGAAAATAACCTACGAGCATTGAATAAAGATGTATTTATTAGCTTCAGCCAAATACAAACTGACCGGACGCCCATGAGAGGAGTGAGGAGGGAGAGAAGAGGGGTGCTCAGAAGAGGAGGCTTGGCGCCAAGTAAACCTTCAGCACTGGATGGCGAGGGCAGGGGGTTGTTCACTGTCGGCAAGAACATGAAAACTATCATTAAAGGCTTCTTCATTTACAAACATTCGATTTTTATTGATCAATTGAAGTTAGAAATAAATATAAGGAATGTGATGCAGGTGGATAAGTCCAAAATAATGATTATTAGCTACATAAAATTATTTAAATTGTATAAAAATGTAATCAAATTCTTGATATGAAACAGCATGAAAACTTAAAACCAACAATAATGAAATACTCCTAAGTGGTGAACAATATTTTCCATTCCATTCACTTACGTAGTGGTTTCTTTGTCGGGGAAGTGTCATTGTCACCCTGAGCCGAGGCTGCTGTTGACTCCTTTTTCCCATTTCTCGGCTCGCTACCAGACCGGTTACTGCGAGAAGAACTGCCTGACTTTCCTGATCCTTTATCACTTGAGCTTGATTTTGTGTCATGTCTAGCGGCTGACAAAGTTTTGGAACTGGGTGAGCGAGCTTCAGGAGGAGGAGGGCTTAACGAGGGAGAGCCCTTGTTGTTCCTAGGACTAGAAACTTGGTCGTTCCGAGGACTGGCGCCTTTGTTATGAGGGCTCGAGGCTTTGCTTGCCTCACTCCAGCGGCGGTCGGCCGCGTTTAATGATGTAGATGATCCGCTCTGCTGCTTTAATGGTGCATGAGAGCTACCCGCAGTCGGAGGGGATGGCGGACGCTTGGTCAGCTCCCTGCCAGTTTTTTTACTTGACACTCGAGCTGGAGAAAGTGAAAGTTTACGTTTCTTGTCATTAATGAAGCCTGGGGAGGTTCGACCCCTGCTGTCATCATAATGAGGATAATGAGGAGACAGGGACGGCGTGTGCTGGCGGTGGGAATTATCCGTCCCAGAGGGAGGGCTGAGAGACTTCTTCTTTGTTGGATATCTGGAGCTGCGTGGTGGCGATGGAGAGGCGTCGAGTAGACCACGAGGGTAGTGGCCAGGTGACCCGTACACAACACTGTCACCTATCACATACCTTCGAAAATGTCTGGGTTTCAATGAAACAAGCAGGCATTGAAAACAAAACTGAAAAATTTGCCAGTGAAAAAAAGCACCACTATGTGTCAACTCTCGTCAAAACGAAAAATAGGCATTACAATTTCAAGAAATCTGATGGTAAGATTTGTCAAATGATGCAGAGAGAAATAATTGTGACAAAGGTTAAGTGCTTACCTGGAAAGTTGGGCAGGAGGTTCGTTTCGTTTTCCAACAGGTCTGTCAACTTCATTGAACTGTGAGAACTTCTTTTCTTTCGATGGCAATGGCGGTGGAGGTTCGCTGATGTAGTACGAGTTTCTGCGCTCTTCATATCCATTACTACCACGACCATGTCCCCTACCACGGGGAGGTCCGGGTGTCGGGCGAGCATCTTCGCCATAATTGTACGAGGCGCCCCGCGATTTGTTGGGAGCCATGCCTCGAGCAAAACCATCACCTCGAGAACTGCCCATGTGATATCCTCCACGAAAATGCCTGCCAGGATTTCTGCTACCACGACCTTCGCCACGAAAATCATGGGCAGGGATCTTGCTTGAATTACCGCCAGCACGAAACTCGTTCATGAGTTTGCCTGCCTGGTTTCCTGAGCGATAATCTTGCATTGGTGGCCTGTTCATTTGGGGACCATGATAATTACCCATTGGAGGCCTCATGTTGCTTCCACCACGGAATGTTCCCATAACAGGTTTGCTCATTTGTTCGCCTGGCCGGAAATTGCTCATAGGAGGTTTGCCTATTTGTCCACTACCACGATAATCGCCCATTAAGGAACTACCTGCCTGCTCACTCCCACGGAACTCTCTAAACTGAGGTTGAGTTGTGTGCCCACCTCCGCGAAACTCTCCCATTGTGGGTTTACTCATGTGACCACGGAACTCATTAAAGGGCTTGCTGGCATGACTTGCAGATCTGAAGTCACCATCAGGGTGTTTGCCATAGAAGTCTTCATCTCTGTACTGGTTTCCATAAAACTTACTGCCATGACTGCCCTGAGATTTGCTTACAGGCTCCGCACGATAGTCATCGTATGCTGATGGCTGTTTGCGCATAGGAGACAACGAGTAACTACGCCTGGGTTTGCGAGGGGGAGAAGCTGAATATCCCCTTTCTTTGTTATATTCTTTATACCCTTTGGCAGGAGGTGAATCATAAGGAGCATACGCTTTGCTTGACTTGTAAGAATCTTCATAGTCTTTGTAGGATGCTTTAGCAGGCTCTTTGTAAGACCCTTTTGCAGGTTCTTTGTAAGAACTTTTTGCAGGTTCTTTATAGGAACTTTTTGCTGGTTCTTTGTAGGAACTTTTTGCTGGTTCTTCGTAGGAACTTTTTGCTGGTTCTTTGTAGGAACTTTTTGCTGGTTCCTTGTACAAGCTTTTTACAGGTTCCTTATATGAACTTTTTGCAGGTTCCTTATATGAACTTTTTGCAGGTTCCTTGTACAAGCTTTTTGCAGGTTCTTTGTATGAAGTTTTTGAAGGCTCTTTGTGTAACCGTTCTGATTGGTAAGCTCTGTTGTCCTTGTAATCATCATCATAATATTTCTTTGAGTATGAAGTGCTAGGCTCCTTATATGAATCTTCAACATAATCTCTTTTGAGAGGAACCTTTTCATCCTTGTAGCTGTAATAATCATCTTTCTGTTTGGACTTCTTTGAACCAGTATCCTTGTAACTATCATGATAGTCACTTTTCTGTTTGTAAGATTTCTCTTCATAAGGCGAGTCGTAATCAGGTGAACGAGGCCGAGCTTTCTTCGATGGTTTAGTGGCAACTTTAGGTGCTTCACGGCTGCTGTAGTGATCATCATACTGGTCATTGTATGATGACTTGTGGCCATCATCCAGGTACTTGCTAGAGTATTTGTCACTCTTGCTGCTCTTCTCGCTCTGATATTTGTGACTTGACATTCTCACCTGCAACACACAAATAATCTCAGTCATGTAATTACAACATTAGAAATCGGTGTTAGCCAGCTATAGGTAGTGCAGATGTAGAAAATTTGTATTCAGGTTCTTCTCATCAAATTAAAATTTTGGCTTCAAATACTGCAAGCAATTAAATGAAGTAGACTTCCTCTATCATCTGAGCTCAGCGCATATTGGTGAAATTCAAGTAAATAAACCAGTGGCATATATTATATTTTGTAGAGCCAGCACGATTCAACTGAAATTATTGATAATGAAATTTACCTTCAAATTTGTTGGCAATCCCAATCCTACAACTCATGAGGGGTAAAGATTTAAGATCGCATCCAGGGCAGCCTTTGGAAAGCTTTATGTAAAGAAGGGGTTTTGTGTACAGATGATTCATGGCATGTTGAAGCACTGCTGACAGTATATAGCAGGGAAGGAGATGAGAGGCCCATGACCAGAAACTATGCCATTATTTAGCTGTAGAGCATGGAGACTAAAATGGCAGAGATGCATCTTCCTCATCCATGTAATGGATCCTTCGTGTATCTGCATCAGGCATAAGATGCATGCTGGAGAAGTTATGCATTGCACATAGTGGAATTTTGCTAGAGATGTTTGAAAGTGGAGGATATGCATTTCAATGCTCAAAAAAATCCGAAAATTCAATGTCATTTAGCAAGTCATTGGGAACTTTCTAAATATCAGTACTGTATGGGTGAAGATGTACATCTTTGCTCCATTTAATGCATGGGCATGTTTAAACAACAATGTTTTCTTCATAGATGAAAATTTCCTTTTGTCTTCTCAAAAAATTCATTCCTCAGGAATGATTTGCCTATTACTTGATTGAGTAGATAGTATGGAGGCCAGGCAGTGTGGCACAGGAACTATATTTTACATTTCCTCCAAATACATATAAAGAAGTATCACAACATACTAAGAATCTTGATAAGCTCAGTGCCATTATAATTGAACCTCCATGAACCACAAGAACAAGAGTTTTGAATCTTCAGATGTGTTGACTCGAAATCTTTTTTTCAGAAATTTTCTTAGTCCTTCATGGTTGACTTCATCTGTGAGTTCAAGTGACCAGTACCAGTTATTGACACCCAATAGACAAGAGGCACTGAAAAGTGAGCTACATGGTAGCTCACATTAAATTTCATCCATTCAAGTTGAAAAGATGCAACATCAAGCTGGTGTTGACATTACCAATAATAATGGTACACACAGAGTAGAACAGTTTTCTAGGGGCAAGGTGATGTCAAAGCTGGTAATGTTGAAACAATCTTGTAACGCTCAATCTTGATGCCATGAGAATAGGACTCCAAGTCAAGGAGTAATGCAGCAGCGTCTCCTTCATTCAGTAGAAAGTCCATCGCCAATGTCGACAAGAAATTTTCCAGGATTCAAGACAACATAAAGCAGCTCTTCAATCAATATTTCTTGTTCAGCCATTTTCAAGAAGTTGGTGTTGCATGTAGAGATGCTTGATCAGTGATGGTAAAAGAAGATCCATTCCCAGCTGGTAGCAGGTCAATGGTTTCAAGATGATGGAAGGAAAAATTAAACCTCCAAAATGAATCCTAAGCTTGTTAGTGTATTGCTCATCAATTTTCATTTTTGATCCATGTCCATAATTTAGAACAAATTGAATTCCAGTTTGAACTGAAAATGATATATTTTCCACCCTTGTATGGGCTTGAATGAATAATTTTGCATGGGCAGTAATGGATAACTCACCTGGTAGTAGGGCTTTCTTTCAGTTCAAAAGTTGTCTTTCAGATTAAACCTTCAATTTCCCTAATCTATTAATGTACAATAACTGTTGGACAATGAAAACAGTTTCATTTAGCAGAATTAGAAAACAATTATACGTTTATGCAAAATTTAAATAATTTAATGTAAATGTTTCAAGTCTTGTGACAGATGCACTCCCATCTAACATAGACTTCAATAATATCCTATTGCCCACCAAATACAGTCTAGCAATCTGAAAGATAGATATTTAAACTGTTCGAAATCAATTCTTTGTTATGGTAAACTTGGAGAATTTAGAATTAGATAGGAACATGTAAAATGGTAAGTGAGCATTGATCCCTGTTAATGAATGATTAATACCTATTGTTTATAATCAAAAGTGTCAAAAAAATTGTTAATACAGCAGCTTCCACTATACTATATTTCCTGTTTAGCAATCTTCCGTTTTCAGAAACCATAAATAAGCAGAAAAAAATCAGCATCAAACTTCATTACACATTTTCAATCAGAATTCAATCATTCTTTGATCCACTCCACATCTTTCAATTTATGAGAAGAACTTGCATGAAGAAAACTGCGATGGTTTCAATTCCAGATGACTTTCGATTTTATTCATCATGATCTGCAAACAGCAACCATAACAAATTTGATGCATCCTCTTCCTTTCAATTCAGGTTCTTGACAATTTGCTCTAAAATGTAACACAACATAAGGAGACAAGCACGATTCAATTTGAAATCCAGAGAAGTAAAAGTCTTGAGCAGCTCCTTGGTTGAGTCTTCAAATCAACAGTGAACATCTGAAGTGACAGAATATGAACAAGTTCTAAGGAAAATATACTGATGAGTGATGATCTTCAAAGAAGTTGATGGTTTATGATCTCAATTTGATTCATCCTGCATAGTTTCAGGTTTTTTGGCACAATTTTTTTCAATAAGGCACATTGTCTCATACATGGGAACATGGTCATATTCTTGCTTGTTGCAATGAGGTATGGAATATACTTTCGGATTAATAAAATTATCAAATTGTTAAATGAAGAACTCAGAGGACAGGCTTCTTGCTTGAGTTTTGCAGCTTATGACCTTATGCTGAGTTTAGGATGTTGTAGTGCACGGTCACGCTGATGCCACACCTTCAAAAGCTGTTTAGAGTCCAGAAGAATTTATGGGTCATTCAAGATATTTTCAGATAATGATTCACATCCTTTCAGTTTGGTGCTAGATTTGAGCTAGAGCAATCTTGTGGTAAAGCTTCTCTGTTTGCAGTTTCTTTCAATAATGGGGAGCAATAAAAATGTGAATGATGTCCAATGCTCAAATTCAGCCAACTGCAATTTGAAAATTTGTCTCTAACAAAATACAGAAATCACTATTATTACTCAAGACAAAAATCACAACATGGCACATAAGACACGGTTGGATTTTTCATTGAGATTGTGAAAATTTAGGCCTTAGTCGAGAGAATTTATTAAGGATTTGTTGAAAAAATTCTCTAGGAAAAGATAGAACACAGAAACATTACTACAAAATGGAGCAGTTCTATTATGGACAAATATTCTCATTGCAAGAAGCATTTCTGTTTTGGCATTGAAGCCTCATGTCTAACCATGATTTAAAAGCTTCTAGGTTGGAAGTCCACAATGTTGAGAATAAAAAACTGAGCTTGGTCCAGGGGGCTTGAAAATCATTCCTGGTATTGGTTAGTCTGCAGTCTGGCACTGTATGAAGTTCCCCCACCCAAAAAAAAAAAATCAATGAAGTTTGAGGCAATAATTAGTAAATGTTTAAAATCACTATTCAATTGTTCAATTTACTGCATCAAAAATTCAATCATGGTCCCAATAGAATAATTCAAACTGGTAAAATCATTCATTATAAATTCCATGCTTCATCTTCTGTACAGCTTTCCACATCTTCCCAGAAAAAGGATTGACTTCATTCTCTGTTGTAAAATTTTCAAAACCAATACCAAATATTCATTTTTCTCACAAAATTTCCCAACTGTTCCAGGGGATGTATATAAATTGTACACAGAATACTTCATACATTTGAAAAAAAATCATCAATGTTCTTACATAATTTCTTCTTTTCATGCAGATGCAAATTCTCCAAACAATTTACACATTTCTGTTTAAAATCACAGGCACAAAAATTCCAAAGCTTCAAGAATTATTCATTGCAGGAAGACTTGATCCACAAAATTAATGTGTAAATTGAATTCATGGCTGAATAATGTCAATGATTCTGAATTACCAAGCATGTGCAAACATGCGTTACAAGTTTAAAGTGGTTGCCTCACGAAATACAGAAAAACATTTATAGGTTTTAATTAATCAGAGACTTAGGCTTTTTGGTAAAAATTTCCAACTAGAGCCTGATCTCATTATTCCTCAACTGAATCTTGTCTTATTGAAAATATCAAGTAAGGCATTTAGATGCAAAAGAATAATTATTTAGGTAAATACAAGCCAAATTGTAGAAGTTTGGTAAATTCAAAACAGGTTGATTGATACTAATAAATTTGGTCAAATTAATATGAATAAACTTTGAACTGAGATAAATGATAAACTTTGCATGAAAAATTAATGAATAACATTTCCAACTAACAGTAACATTTATCAATTTTATGCAATAATTTCTATACTGCATTCTAAGTGCAAACATGTTACATCACTAAACATTTTCTCCAGAAGAAAGGTGGTATGCATTGGTATGCCCTTAACCAAGCTTTGAAAATTTTAATCTTCAGGCTTGCCTTCAGATCAGGAGGAATCATGTACAAACATCAAAAGTGTTCAAGGTTTCAACGCCCAAGCCCTTAAAATTGTGCTGAAATGCAGAAATTTTAACAAGAAATGTTCAATATATAAAGAAATGTCAAATTAGGTTGTTCAAGTTCAGGAATAATCTAAGACAGTAAATTCATGTAAATCAGCATCAATAGTGCATATGATGGCCACATACTTAGTTTTATGTATTGTGTGCAACTTTACTGATATACATGATGACAAATTGGAGAGTAAGTGTATATATAAATCATTAACCATCCAGATTCATCAAGCTTATTCTGCACTCTAATAATGATACCGTAATTATATATGTATGTATGTGTGTGCATTTGCAGCCCTTCTGAATGGTAGAAGAGATACTGTTGAACAACTGTGCTGCACAGTTCTGCTAACTTCCATTCAGATGTAGAAAATCTACTTTCTGATCCATGACTGGGTCTAGCATCCAGAAAATCAAGAACTCTGAATCTTGAACCAAGACAATGTCTTGTATTATAAATGGATGTCTTGAATTAATATGAATAAAATGTTGTTCAGACATGCAGGTTGTGGGGCAGTTTTCCAGTTGATGTAGCCACTGCCAACAATGAACATATAATTTTAGTAGATGCAATGTTTTTCATTGTTCCATTGGTCTTGAAGCCGAAGTTTATTCTTAAATCCATAGAGAGCAAAGATGCATGATACAACCGGTGCCAAAACTCCAAAACAATGAAAACTTCCCAAGAAGTTTATCTCAACACAAGCAGAAGCTGTAGGCCTCTTCTTTGGTGTAATTTCTTGCAGTGATAAAAATCCCTTCCACACACAGGATGCAAGGCCAGTATTCCATCAAGAGGTTTTCTCTTCAATAAATATGAAGATCTTGCAATAGTTGGTGCACACTATCATCTCCTCAGTGCTATACTGATGCCAACAATCGAACAAATTGAGTCTTGCTCTTGAATAACAGATGCCAATCCCAGGGTAATGTTCACAGCAAGCCAAACCAACTTGACCATTAACTTCATCACAATTTAGATATAAAATTCCTTAATTATTTGATGCTCAAGTCAAGCAAGAGGATGTTCTTCAATTCTCTTGTAGACATGATTGGATGAGAGAACAGATTTTGGGCAGCAAACAAATCCTCCAGTTCAAAAGTAAGCAAGATTTTGAATCAAGCTTGTTGAGACCGAGTGAATGCATCAAAAGATGTTCCATCAATTTTCCTCAACTTCACACGTCGGGCTGGGAAATAACAAAATTTTTCTTTAACATGTATAAAAAATGAACACAAACTGAACATATTAGTAAAATTCATTTTAAAACAAAAATCGATTTCAATCTTTACTATACATACATATAACTAATGTAATCTTAACTAATCTAGCACTCCCTTTTGAGGTGTTTTTATTAGCATGCAACAGTTTAAATATTAGACATTGTAAATATTGAAAACATATGCAGAAAATGAATTAAATTATCAAGGAATAATTCTTTTGATTTTTCTTCCAGAATAAAAAATAACTAATAACCAAATTAAATTAAATCTTGGGGTAAAGAGACACTTTAGTAATATATAGTGAAAACAATTGGTGTGATTACTTTCTTAACAAATTGAGAGATCAGCAAGTTAGCAACTTGCTGAATGTATTTACTGCATCTGCAAACAGCTAACCTTTTCACTAAGAGATATTAATGTTCCATTAACATGTTAATTTTTAAAATTCAACTATAATCATATTAGTCAACGTATTAACAGATGAAGTCCAATAAATCTGAAAGGATTGTTTATGCTTGCCAAACAAATAACTTAATTTCAGATTAATCATGATGTGTTCAGATTAATCACAATCAATTAAACAATCTCAAAAATATAATAAGTAACAAATTGCTTCAAAGGGTAGAAAAGGCCCCTACCCCTCAAAGTATATAACCTGGTAAATGGTAATAGCATGGTGCATACATAATAAATAAATGAAAAAATCCTTCTCATTTCAGGTCTGAATGCAATACATGAGTGCGTTCTTAAACTTCTTAGTAAACAGTAGGGTGTGATGGGCTAAGTTAAGACGAATTCTAGAATTGAATGCAGGATAAGGTCAAAAAGGTCAGTAGGTAATATACGTTCAACCAAAATATTTATTCACATTTCCACCTATTGTGATGGTCTTTGACTCTTTCATTGCGGAAACATGATAATCAATCAGAGAGAAAAGTTGCAGTCTATTTAAATTAGAATAATGTTTTATACAAAATAAAAAAAAAATTATTACAAATAGGTACTGAACATGAGGAATACCTAGCCTACTGTCAAATACATCTAGCTAGGATATTTTACAAACTAAGAACAGAATTTTTGCAGCCATTAATTTATGATTTTTTCAACCATGGAACAAAATTTTACCAGTGATATGATTTCTTAGCGGTATTATTGCAGATTAACTACATCCAAAAAAAAGGGTGAAAAAAAAAAAACACCCTTTTTTTTGGATGTAGTTAATCTGCAATAATACCTTTCTTAGCTCTTAAGCATAGTGGCAAACTGGCAAAGCAGAGAGTTTTTTAGACTCTCTCTCAAATTCATTTTTGAGTCCTGTATGTAGACCAGTAAAGTATCCTGGATACCATTACCTGCATTATCAATAATTTATAATACATAAGAAATTGGTTTAAATTGTACATAAATGAGGAAATTAGAAATGAACTGATTCTAAAAAATCCATGGTTTGTCACTAGGTAGGCTAGTATGCTCTTAAGTGATGCACCCAAACCCATTCTTCATGGTGAGAAAACTTTCCAAGCCTTCAACTCCTTTATTGAGCAAGCTCAGCAAGGGAATGAAGGGATTAGTAGGTATCACACCAAAATTACTAATTTTAGGTAGGTAGGTAGCCTACTTTAAAATTGGAAAGAAAAGATTTAGTCTTTACTGTAGTCAGTGTAGTGAGTGTACAGTGTACTCACTACTCAGTGTAGTCACTGTAGTGCTGTACCTACTTGTAGGTTGTAGCCTAGTCACTCAACTGTATGCGACTACTTCACACTTCACACGTTCACAGTACTCAGTAGTGTCACTAGTGAGTGTAGTCACATAAGTAAATAGTAGATAACTAGCTTATGGAGAATTAATTATGAAATTCTGTAGTATACCTAACCTTGACTTCCTTTAAATTTACGTTCAAGGTATCTAGCACAGAAAATAAAAGTTTTAGGGTTCGTCACAAATCGTCGACGCAAGTTTCTATGACGCCAAGAAATATTATAATAAAAGCTACATTAAAAATAGTCTCACCGTATGAATTCTCAGATTGTTTCAGCAAATTCGTAGGTTGATCAATGATTTGATCAGACTCATTAAGCTTCGTCTGCGGCAGCTTACTCTTTTCTCAAGCGAAGTGTAGAATAGGACTGACAGCGGCGGCTGCGCATTTCGTGTTTCAGTTCACCACCTACGTCAAAGCATAAAGAATTCAACTGACGGGAAACACACTAGGTGAATAAATTAAAATTTTCTAAGCAATCAAAACTCATGGTTTCAAAAACAAATAAAAAATTTTCACTTTAACAAATAAATTTCTCTCAGATTGAGTAGTTTTGAGATATAAAATATAAGTTTTTTGTTGCAGGCACTCTGGGACAGGTGTGGGACAATTTTTCGGTCGGACCCATTTTATTTTACTGTGGGACAATTTTACGCTAATTACAGCTTTCAACGCTTAGAGTTGGAGTTTGCATTGCCCCTTCTTTGTGTGTAATCGCAATCTTATAATATTGAATGGACGTTCGTTACTTCGTTTCTACGTACTCTTTATCTTAATTTTGTTTTAGTTGGGTTATTATTGACTTGGCACATAGGTACAGATGCAGCAGTTCCGTTCACTTTCAGCTCAAATGAGGACTGTAGTTATAGTTACGTCAATAATGGACGGATTTTCTTCAAATTTAAAATATAAATAGATAATATGAGTACGCTGCGGAGGGTATTTTTTCCAAATTTTTACATTCATTACTTT